CCAAAAGGCAAGACAATGGATGGAAACTAATCAAGGAGAAAAGCAACCCAGAACTAAGGAGAAACTTCCTAACAGTGAGGAAAATCAACCAGTGGAAGGCTTGCCTTCGGAAGTTGTTGGTGCTCCATCACTGGAGGTTTTTAAGAAGAAACTGGACAGCCACTTGTCAGAAATAGTATACCAGTAGGTCTTCTGAGTGAGCAGGGGGTTGAATTAGATGACCTCCAAGGTCCCTGCCAACTCTGTTACTCTTACTGAAATAATATTGAAAACATTTTTCAGGTAGCTTGATATGCTGAAAGATCACTTTCCTTCTAACTCTGCAGATTAAGCTTGAAATTCTCTGTTCCAGAGAGTGATGTCTATCAGAAAAGAGATTTTCTGAGAGTAGTACTAGTTCAGAATATCCTCCTCTTTTTACACATTATAATTTTGATTAGGTGTGGTTTATTCCTCTCCAAGATCCTTCCCTTCCTCCCGCTCTTTCCTACACCCCCCTCACTTCTATGCAATTACATTTGCTCTAAGTCATTTATTTTTAAGTGCCTGGTATTAAAAATAGCCACCACAAATTCTCTAGTTCTGCTCTGGTGAGATGCAAATTATGAACAGAGATGTTACTTAGAAAAAGCTTTTAAGAGTGTTTAAATACCTGAAAGGGTCAGAGTTGTGTTTGTTTTTTTCAAAGTATTATGAACCCCTTTGTCTCTTTTCAGAAAAATATATTTGAGCATTCTATGCCACTATGAATATATGTTTCTGATTATCTAGTTGCCAATTTTTATCTTGGACAACATATGCTACTGAATTTATAAACTGTAGTTTATTGTTTCATACTGTAAACCAGAGGTGGCATGCAGCAGGTTCTGACCAGTTCCGTACAACCGGTAGCAAAAAATTTTGAGTAGTTCAAAGAACCGGTAAATACCACCTCTGACTGGACCCACCCCATCTATTCTCTGGCTTTCGGGTCCTAGCTGATTGGGAGGAAATGGGGATTTTGCAGTAACCTTTCCCTGGAGTGTGGTGGGAATGGAGATTTTACAGTACCCTTCACCTGCCACACCCACCATGCCACACCAGCCATGCCACTCCCACCAAGCCATGCCACACCCACTGAATCGGTAGTAAAAAAAATTGGAATCCCACCACTGCTGTAAACCACTTGGAGAATAAAGTTATTTGGACACTTTTTGCAAAGTTCATAAAAACTGTAATCCCTTTTATCAAGGTGGAGTCCGGACAATTGAATGGAGTTGAGCATTTTCTGGCTGGATGCCCTTCCTGATGCCTACACAGAGTTCACAGCAAATATTTTCTCTTGACACCCTGATAGAGAAACATTTGCCATGCCTATGATTGAACTCTCAACCTTCTTCATCTCTAGGTCCCCATGTTGGTCACCATTAGCTACTAGGTTACTCCAGCTAATAAATATTGTGCGTGTGAAGCTGAGGTATATCCTTTGGAGATATATCAGCTTCATATTATCTTTTTAAAAAGAAAATACAAAAAGCCAGTTCTGCTTATAAACGTATGCTGGACACATTTCAAAGCCATCAACCTTCCAGAGAAAAAGCATGTCTAGAAATTCACCATCACCCAGAGAACAGATGGGTGAAGGACCTTCAAACTTCAAAATGTTAATAAAGATTATTTTTTTACCATGGAACCAAGGAGCAATAGTGTTGGAGTTTCTTTCCAAGCCAGCCCGCCGTGGAATCTGTTCCTCTTTGAACCACTGAATGATGACTTCTCTGGACAAAGGCCTCTGGGGCCATTCCCATGCTTTGCTGTGTTAAATTAAAAAGAAATAGAGGTTAAGGCCATGCAGAGAGGAGCTGCATTAGGAAGAAACCGCATTGTAGTTACAAAATAAGAGGGACTTGTCGTTCTGTTCACAGAAGGTGACGATAATATTTTCCACCTTCTGTAAGTAAAGTGAAGCCATAATTGGGTATTAAATCTAGACCCAATGCAAGCCAGGAGAGGCAAGGTCACCTGGAGAAAGCCTTTTCAGCATTTTGAATAAGTCAATTTCACTATTCTTCTCATCCCGAGGCTTTTGAAACATGAGGGCTGACTGGCACCTATTAAAGTCCTGGTAAGGAGGTGGTTGAAGAATAGATTGATAGTGACAAGGAGGTCTTGCCAGATGGGGGTAATGAAAATAATAAAAAGCAACAGCATCTGAAGGGAAAACTCTTTCAAAGAGCAGTGGGTAACAATTCTGCATCTTGTATTTATTTGTTTGTTCAATTTTTATGATTGCCCATCTCAGTCAATGATTCTGGGGCAGCTTACACTTCATAAAATATATTAGAGCTTTCTCTTTTTCTCTCTCCTTCCTTCCTCCTTCCTTCCTTGCTGTCTTTCTCCTGCCAACCCTCCCTTCATTCCATTTTCCTCCCTCTCTCCAGCACTCCCTCCAGTAAAATCAGTAAAAATATGTCTTAGAAAATATTTGTTTGTCGCCACCCTTAAAATTAAAAGCTCAGGGAGCACCAAAGACCCCACTGTTCAACCCTGAGGTGCAAATAATCTCCTTTAAATAAAGTAGGAATGTGAAAGAGAGGTGATGAATATGACAGGCAAGAGAAGACTTCTTGGTGATATTTCCCCCATTGGCTTCTTTTATCCTCCTTTGGAAAAAATTCAGAGAAGAACAACTATGGATTCAAACATATGAAGAACGGCTGCACAATTTGAGTCTGGCTAGTCTAAAGAAAAGAAGAATTAGGGGTGACATAACAGCAGTATTCCAGTACTTAAGGGGCTGCCTCAAAGGAGAGGGGGTCAAATTATTGCCCAAAGCACCAGAAGGCAGGACAAAAAACAATGGATGGAAACTGATCAAGGAGAGACGCAACCTGGAATTAAGGAAATGTTTCCTAACCGGGAAGACAATTGATCAGTGGAACAGCTTGCCTTCAGAAATCGTGGGTGCTGCATCCCTGGAGGATTTTAAGAAGAGATTGGACTGTCACTTGTCTGAAATGGTATAGCTCCATGATGGCAAACCTATGACATGCAGAGCCCTCTCTGCAGATATGCGATCCGTCGCCCCCAGCTCAGTTCCACCGCGCACCTCCCAGCAGCCAGCTGATTTTTGGGTCTCTCCTGCACATGTGGGAGACGCATGTGTATGCATCAGGGGGCATGCAGGGGAGGGCATTCCCCCCATGCCCCATTTTTTACCCCAGGAGGTATCAGGGAGGCCTGCTAGACCCAAAACAGGCTGTGGGGGGTGGTACCTCGGTGCTCCATTTTTTGTCTCAGGAGGCTTCAGAGAAGCTTACTAAGCCCAAAACAGGCTGTGAAGGGGTCATGTGTGCATGTGTGGGGGTTGGAGCACAGGGGGTTGTGTGTGCATGCACATGGGGGGGCATGGGGATATCATGCGCACATTGTATTATGAGTGTGGGCACGCAATTTCGGCACACAAGGACAAAAGGGTTAGCCATCACAGGTATAGGTTCTCCTGCTGAACTAGAAGACCTCCAAAGTCCCTTCC